TTTTTTTTTTTTCTGGTGGGGGGGAAAAATTTGTGAACTTAAAAGTGATATGTATGAGCCCCAAATAGTAAGATACCAAACAACTCTTAACTTATTCTTATACGTGGATCACGCAGGGCAGTACTGGCTGAGAGACCTAGTTCAGCTTGAGCAGGCGGTTATGGCAAGCGGCGGAGGTCCACCGCCAGCAGATGCTTTCACCATCAATGGACACCCTGGACCCAACTACAACTGTTCCAGCAACGGTAACGATAACTATATCTTCTACAGCTTTGATAGTGCTTAAATACGCCAAACTTTAACCAATAAGTTTCCCCTCGATGGACAGGGTCGACCACCAGGTGTTGTTCAAACCCAACTTCTGCAACTTCTGGCTCAAAAGCCATGGATTATAATTGGGCATTTAGGATTCTGTTTTTTGACTAACTTCTAGGCCCAGAAGTTGCTAAAGTTTGAAAGCTCTAAAGCAGTAGCTCATTTTTTTTTTTGAACAACGACGTTGGCAATATAATATATATATATATGTTCTAATAGGCTTGACTTTTTTTTTTCTTCATATCACCGATTGGGTAGTGAATAATTTCATACATAAGATTATTCGTCGTCGTCGTCTCCAAATTATTTTTTAAATGCAATCATTACAAGCAAAACTTTGACTTTCCTTTCTTTCTCTTGATTAACATAACATATGTTACCATCCCTCTGGTTATACCTTTACCACTAAACTTGCTTCATGATTAATTAGTTTAACAATTATGAACAATATTACTTGTTTTTTCAGATGTGTATAGAATTAATGTAGTTCCCGGGAAAACATATCTACTACGGCTGATCAACGCGGGCCTCAACATGGAGAACTTCTTTTCCATCGCCAATCACAAATTAACTATCGTTGAAGCAGACGCCGAGTACACGAAACCCTTTACCACGGATCATGTGATGCTTGGCCCCGGCCAGACTCTCAATGTCCTCGTCACTGCCGACCAACCCATCGGACGGTACTCCATGGCCATGGGACCCTACATGTCCGCCCAGAATGTCCCCTTCCAAAACATAACCTCCATCGCCTACTTCCAATACTCTGGGGCCATGCCTAATGGCTATCCCTACCAGCCCTATTACCTACCTTTAACAATAATCTTGCAGTTAAGACCGTTATGGATGGGCTCAGGAGCCTAAATCCTGTCAATGTCCCCAAAGAGATTGACACTAACCTATTTGTGACCATCGGATTAAATGTCCAACAATGCCGGTCAAATAACCCCCAGCAAAACTGCCAGGGTACCAATGGCGGTGTCATGGCAGCATCCATGAACAACATAAGCTTCATTAGGCCTAGAGTCTCACTCCTCGAAGCTTATTACAAGAAGATTAACGGATACTACACGGAGGATTTTCCCGGGGTGCCCCTTAAGTTCTATGACTTTGTCAATGGGGCACCTAATAACATCCCCTTTGACACACAATCAACGAATGGGACTCGGATCAAGGTACTCGAGTATGGAAGTAGGGTGCAACTGATTTTGCAGGACACTGGCACGGTTACCACCGAGAACCACCCAATCCATCTCCATGGCTACAACTTCTATGTCGTGGGCTATGGCACCGGGAACTATAATCCCAGACCGCAATATTCAACCTGGTCGATCCTCCCTACATGAATACCATTGGAGTTCCAGTAGGTGGATGGGCCGCCATTAGATTCGTTGCTGATAATCCAGGTAATAGACACGTGCACACTTACATACATGAGCAAATTACAGCTGTAAGTTCCTGTACTTTCTTAATCATTTCTATTTGGTGCCTAACATTTCAATTGCAGCGATTTAGCATTGAACTTTTCATCTCACTTTCTATTTGGGCCCCAATGTCATTAACTTCTGTTAATGCCGGTTGATGACGGTCAATACTTTTCCTCAAAAGAATTGGGGAATAAAGTGCACGGACTAAATTGTAGCAACTGTAAGATTGGGGACCAAATAAAACAGCAAATAAACTATGGGACTTGCCGCTGTAATTTACCCTATGTTCATCTGTATATTACCTCGAAATATAGTAAGCCTAATGGGTATCTTGGCTAATATAAATTTGCTTTGCTAGGAGTCTGGTTTATGCACTGCCACTTGGAGATACATATGTCATGGGGCTTGTCCGTGGCATTCATAGTGAAGAATGGGCAAGGAGTGCTAGAAACCCTTCCTCATCCTCCTGCAGACCTTCCCCGATGCTAGAGAGCTATTCGTTCGAGTGATGTCTTTCAGATTAATAACACCAAATCTGACAGTTAAGATCTTTCCAGCGAGGGATTTTGTTTGCTCTTGACACAAATCATAAGTGTGAATCAAGGGTGTATTTTTTACAGTGTGTGGTCCATTCAACTGAGCTCGTGGAAATTGGGGTGTAAAGGAAGGAAAGATTCGATGAAATAAAATGCAAAATTTCTTTCTTAAATTGTGTTTGTTTCACTTTCACATATTATATACAGGTGTATATATCTCTCTTTATGCATGTATATACATTGGTACCTCTCTGGCTGTGGTGGAAATAGACCTGCCTCAGATGCAGACAACTGTTCTGAATAGCTAGAACTGGATAAACCGTAATTATAAGTTATATCCACACCAACACCCAGACACACACATTGCATGTACGTCACTTTGTCTTTTGAAGAAGTCATCAAGCAATAGAAGTCAACAAGCAGGTATTGCTTGATGTAATCACCAAACAGGTACTAGCTGCAAAAATGCGCTATTAGTTATAAGGTATGACGAAATTCAACACTTAACATTTTCTGTTGGGTCAAACCAGAAAATGGGAAAAAAGATATACCAGGATCTCAAAACTTTCCTCCCTATTGGAGATAACCTAGCAATCAGATGATGCAGTAGGATCAGGATTGTTAAGATTCTCGTCTCCTCATTTTCATCGTGCTAATTGAGTAAAAACTAAAATCTAATTTTTGGGAGACATTAAAATTTAAGAGAAAACTAAGCCTCTCTAGTTGCTTTTACAAGCTAACAACTGGGAGAATTCGAATGCAGATGTAATAGGTCAGTGATACAATGGACAAACAAAATTATAAGTGTCAGTTCAAATGGTATAAATTAACTGCTACCAGTAAGACAAAATGGTTTATTTGTTAGTAAAACACAAGACAACAAAGAACACAACTAATACTTGCTTTAAGAACAGTAATGGAAAGATACTAGGAACTCACATGGTGCATCTAATCTGCAAAACAAATTGAACAAGTATACTACAAAATAAAATAGAAAATGAATCAGAAAGGCAAAATGGTTGATTTAGTAGTAAAACAGCAAGCAGCAAAGAATAAACTAGTACTATTAACAATGGTAAGAGGAAGATACTAAGAAGCCGCAGGGTACATCTCATCAGAATAGTGAATTGAATGAGTAGACTACAGAATTAAAATGGAAAAAGAAATTCATGTAGATATAGAGTCTAGGCAAACCTTAAAGCAAAAATTGCAGTTTCTGATGGAAATGCAACTTCCATATTCAGATGAAATGGAACTTTTTAAGCTGCACCAATCCACACAAATCCGAGTATACCATCATTTGTATAAGCAAAAACAGAACTGATATTCCTCCTATTCCAAGCAAATTCGTGATAGAACATTCATGAACTCAAGACTGTAATATAACATTTCATTTGAAGGGGGAATCAAAACCATGGTATTGTTATGAAGTCCAGTTTTCCATATATCATTGGTCAAACAGCAGATGAAGTACAAAAGTGTAGTACAACTAACTCAGTGAAGTACCACCACCATTGTTCACATTAATCTAATATATTTCATGTTAGGTATTGCAGGACATGTACCAGACTTAACTACACCATGGAACAGTTGGTTTTCATAAATTAAGCATGTTCAACAAACTGGCCAAAGTAGTTAATTTCACATAGAGAAAGAAACGAAAGACTCCATCTAACAGGCCCAGAGTCAGTCCTATACACAGGACTCCAGCTATCTCTTGCAGTAACAGAGTAGATATGATATCTGGGTGACATGTATATAAACAAATCAGTCTTCTTCAACGTTAACGTGCAGAGAAAGGAAAAATTAAACCAGTACCTACTTTGTAAGGGTCCTTGCAAAACTGAGTCTTCAACAGGTAATCTCTCTGAAAAAAAAGAAATGCTTTCTCTCTAAAAAAAAAAAAAAAAAAAAAGAAATGCTTCAGGGTGAGATGCCTTGTGTAGGGGCTTTCATACATTCACTGCATCAACTCAAGGCCTTCGCATAACCCAGGTAGCTGAAACTGTTACTACTTAACACAGCAACATTTGTAAGTTTTGATGCTAAACTTATTGTGCTGAAGTAAAGACTGAGATATCAGATTCGATACACAAAAAACGTTCCCCTTCATGGCAAGAAATTTGAATTCTTCTCACCGCTTATTGGATGAACCAATAATAAATTTCAGTAGTCAATACAATTACTTATTCATAATTTAATTTCTTTCGGTGTAAATATTCAAACATTGTACCAAATGCAAAAGCTCCTATAGTCACTTTAGAATCTTAATATTACAAGACAATTCATGGGTTAATTCTTTGCGAGGTCCAAAGTTTCTCTCCATTAATATTCTGTCTGGATGTAAAGTTTAACCTCTCATTGCTCTTCAAGTTCAAGTAATCAACCTGTATGTCAGATAAACCCTTGTAAGTATTTTGGCCTGAACAATTCAGCAGGAAAAAATAAAGTCCCAAACAAGACACACAACCTGGTCGGGGTCTAGAACGAGCAAACAAAAAGCATCAACAGGGCCTGTAGAAGGATCCAAAGAAGGTTCCTTAAACGCTATTTCACCTAGCAAGGGAAGACCAGGAATAGGCCCCAAATACTGCAGTCTGGATTTTGGAGAACTTGAAAACCAAGCTCTCTCTCTTTGCTGCATTATAGGGTTTTGGAATCAAATTCATATCTTTTCATAAAAGGTATGGATAGCCAATAAAATAGCAAATCAATACTGTTACAAGTCAGTATTATTATTTTCCACTACAAAACCAATATTAAGTTTATCAAAAATAAGTAATAGTCTGTTTTTTGTATTCTCCAAACATTACGATAGCATTCAGAATTGGTTAAAAATATATATAGGGTATTTTGCCGTGTGCTTGGAACTTGAAGAGGTACCTGAAGCTTCATTGGGTCACGACATGATCCATCAATGATATCTACACTTCCATTGATCCGGAATTGCTCCCAAGAGTCAGCAAAATACCAACATATCTAATTAATAAAAATACCGAACTTCATTGGATTATAAGTAAAATCATTGAAACAAAAATCTGATTGATCTGGCAAGGGTCATCAGCAAGTTTGCCCAATTCAATTAGCTTGTTAGAAGCTTAATAAACAACATTTACACATAGCAATGCGCACGATGTACATGAAGATAATACCCCAATAAACACAAATTACCTCCGCAAATGGACATTGCTTGAGTTCATCAATCTGCAATTTTTTAATCAGTAACAAACATAAAAACCAATTGCAAATACCCAGTACCAGCGTTACCAAGAAAATACTTTAGCTCATCCATCTATCTACCAAACCTACTGCTAATACCCAATACAAATCAACAACCCAGAACAGATAAAGCGTGAAGAATGAAGAACCTTTCGACTTCGGCTGTCTGTGTTGATATGGATTATCACTGTTCTCCTGAAATCCTCTGCATATAACTCACACATGAATCTAGAAATTTCAAGACTTTACACGCACGCACTCACAGGCCCAGACCTGAAAACCGACGGTGCGATTCGAGGGTTTTCCATTAGACCCGATCGTCGCCTATTACCCAAAAGAGCTAATTGATTAGAAAAGATCTGGGAGTGGCGATTGGGATTGGGGGTGGGAAACTAAAAAATGAATCGTCGAAAGAACCAAAGAAGAAAAAAAAAAAAAAACAGCTTTATGCGTAAAAAATACGGAGAGAAACGTACAAGCTGGAAGAATAAGGAGTGCTTGACGCTGGAATTGGACTCCAAGGCGTTGAGAAGAAGCTGCTTCCAAGATGATGCTGCTACCGTTTCCATTTGCAGTGTGCGTTATGGAAGGAAACACTGTCGGGTTTTGAATTGTCCACAAAATTTGGGAGTTATTTAGTATTGAGAACATTTGGTAAAGTTTTTGTATTATTTTTGCACCAATGTACTTTCTGCTTTTCATTCCGACGCCGAGTTTTGGGATTTCTTTTGAGAGAAATGCTTTAACCTTGTTACCTTAAGCACAAATTAAGGATAAACTTTGTTTTTTCGCATCATAGGACTCTTGATCTGTTCCCAAAAAATGGTTCTATTTGACTTTTTGAGAAGGAAAAGAATTCACTTACTTAATTTAATAAGAAAATGTTGCACTTAGGAAATCTTTTTTAATTTTTTAAATTATATCCACTCGCATTTGGTTTAACTCATCATTTTCTGGGCAAGGGGATGTTTGGTTTCTCCAGCTTTTGCTGAGAACTGTTTCTTTTATTATAAAATAAAAAATGTCTATTGTGTATAATTGATTCATTCAAAAAATTAATTTTAAATTGATAAATTCCAATTGTTTATCTACTTATATATATCTGTATAGAAATCCTGCGCACATAATCAAACTTAATTATATTTCTGTATAATTTTTTTTAAAAAGATAATTTAATGTCATGACTCAAAATCGGATACGTGACCAACGCAAGAGTCAGAATAAATCTCAACCCTGCAAGCCTGACAGAAATACTAAATTTAACTGAAAAACAGAAAGTTTGATATAACTTAAATAAAATTCAAACCACGCTAACAGAAATGTCAAACACAAAACAAAATTTTGTCTGCAGTCAAATAGAGTATACTAAAAATTCAGAAAATACAAAAGTTTTAAAAAAAACTGAATAACTGGCTCTAAATAAAAAAAATTTAAACAGAACTGCTAACGACACGAATTGTGAAATCGAGGGTTTTGGAAATAAATCCATATCCAGATTTGCAAAATTTTCTATTTAATTCCTGACTTTTTCTGGTTTCTTTTGATTTGCTCTCTATTTTTCCTGATTTATTTTGATTCAATCCCTAACTAATTTAATTTATTCAATCTAGCCCATATTTTATGGAAATTTCATAAATACCCCTAAATTAGGGGTATTACATTTAAAAATCAAAAGAGCTAATATTTGTTGACTCAAAAAAAAAAAAAGAAAAGTCATCTTAAGCTCTTAAAACTTTTTTTATAGATAAGTAATCAAATATCCTCTTCAAAAGCTCAACCCTCTCACAAAAATTGTACACTTTTAAAATAATCAAACACTTCTTAATCAATTGTGATGCCTTGTATACATACACTTCAGCATCAAAAGAATCGAAACCTTTACAAATATCCAAACTCCACCTAAATAAAATATAACACCCTTGTATACATCTATAATCTAGCCGTATCAGTGTTTGTAATCAAAGAGTAGCAAGTCACAATCAAGTTATTTTTTTCTTGGGATGGATTAAATGATTTCTGCTCTAAGACTTGATCGATTAATATTAATCTATCCGAAAACGGGACTACACTGGGAAACAAAGTCTCGTCTGGAGGGCCATAACACTTGGGATTTGTCTGCTTCATTATAATTTCAAAATATTCAATCATGCATGGCATGCGTCACGGTTAATTATCTCTCTCTCTCTCTCTCTCTGAACTTGCATATGGTGGGGTGAGGTGGGGTGGGGTGAATAATTGGAAGGTCAGCGAGCGGCCACATCAGTACTGATCTAAATGAATTGCAAGAGTTTGGAACTGCCATATTGACAAGCGCGTGCTTAGGAATATCAGACTGCATGAACGATGAGTTGACTAGGAGAGCATCAACTTTTAGCAGAAGAAGACGGAAGCCGAAGAGAAAAGGTGGAAACCAGGGGTGGCAAGTGCCAGGTTTCAATATGGCAACTCGTATAATCGCAAAAGTTAGAGATGTCCCTTCGGAAGAAATAATAACAACATGAACCATCAAAACTTTTGATATGATTTAAAAGATGACCATTTCAAAAGTTGGGGGACAACGTTGGGGCGTGGGATAAGCGGAAACTGGAAGCTCAGGGAGCCGCCATGTCAGCACTGATTTAATTGGATCATAGGAGTCTGGAGCTGCCACGTTAGTAAGCACATGCTTAAAGAACCGGTGTGTTGTATTCTGGTATTAGGTGTTTTTTTAAGTGAAGAAACACCATCAACCATTTTACAGATATATAATAGATCTTTTTACGTATTACAAATTTGTACAGGAGTTAAAGCGGCTAGGGGTGATTTTTTACCGTGAATAACCCAACATCAAATAAATTTAGAATAGTGTATTTTAGAGGTGCTTAGAACCGGTCTAATTAATTGAATAGCTCAATCCAAGTTAAACTGAACTGATCAACAATAATCAAAACTGAAAATAGTCGATTTAATTTGATTTTTAGAACATTTAAACTAATTGATTTGGTTCTGTTCAGTTGTTAATTTTTTCAAAAAAGTAACTTATTCAAATCAAACCAATTACGTTTATAACTTTTTATTTTATTTAATATGTATATATATAAAACTCTATCGTAAATTTTTTCCTTCTTATATGAGTAGAATTTAATTAATATTTTCTTAAAAAATCAAACCAAATCAAACTGAACTACCGTAATCATGCTTAGTTTGGTTTGATTTTGAAGTATATTAATAACCAATCATATCTCTATCTATTCAAAACTAATTTGTTTGGTTCAATTTGAAAAAACAAAATTGAAACCGTAAATGCCCTGATGCATTTGATAATCAATGGATTAACTAGAAAGGAGGATGGAAAAGGAAAATATATACTTGTATTTGCAATAAAAATAACGGAGGATCTTTGGAAGGGTTCGGAAAGTTTGGGATATTAATCTTGATTACCCCCAAAGAAGATAGATTTAGATTTACAGTAAATCAGTGATCAATCAATGACTGGATTTACTAAAACTGAAAAAGAAAGGAATGTTAGAAAAAACTTTAATGGGCTAAAGTTAATTATAAATTTATTTTTTATGAAAAATGGGCTGAAGTATATGATTCAAGCCATGTTACGTGATCTGATTATTTGAGCATTGTGCGATGGGTAGCACATTCTGTAGTGAGGTGTAGGACAGTTATAGTGTAAACCCAATTTAGGAATCCTTGATGGAAGGGAAACTTAAGTGATTTAGGAGTCATTCTATGAATTTATAAATAAGTGGATAGGTCCTCTCTCTACTCCTAGAATGATTATCCTCATCTACTACTGCCTCTAGGAAGTTAGAGAGAAGGGTCTAGTATTTGGTAGACGCATGGATACCAGTCCTGATTTGTTTTCACATTCATTCTGATAATTGATTAATGGCGTCAGGTATGTAATTCTCAATCATTTTGATTAGTATTTATTATTCATACAATTTCCACATTTTAACTTACGCGTGGTATCAGAGCCTATATTGTATGAATTTTAGGCCTAACCTCTTGATTGCATGAAAATCATAAAGATTTACACGTTATTAGTCAATCATAAAGTGCCAATAGTTTATTATTAAAATAATAATAACAATAATAAATAATAATAATAATAATAAAGCCAACAATAGATCCACGGCCAGACGAGTTTTCTGGTTTGGGCTTCTGAGAACTTATTTCTGTTTCTTAATTTTCTGCTCTGATCAAAATTAGATTATATTATACATATAAGTTCCATGAACGTAGGCTTTTTCGTTTCTTGACTCAAAACTGTTTTGGTTCAATGGTACTATTGCTGGCAGATTAAATACAAGGGCCGCAAGATTTACAGACTAATCTATAAAAACTACTTTTCAATTCCGATGTTAAATCAGAATTTGATTCATGGAACTTGGGCCGCTTGGAGTTTTAGGAATGATTGAATTGAATTTTAAATCTGCTAACTTGTGTGAAAAGAAGTGAAAGGACATTGAAGTTATATATACTCGTAATGCCATGCATACATGAACGACAGATTCACTTTCAGGATTTCTAATATATCCGAGTGATATATACACACACGTGCGTGCAGATTTCAGATTTTTCGATCTGCAAAATTTATTCATAATAATCTGTTTTTGGGCAATTAGTTAATTTAAACCTATGAATATAATTTATTAATCAAAGGTATATAGCATGTCGTTGCCTCAATCAAAGGCGTATAATTAAATTCCCAATAACAATGGCGGCTGGGGTTTGCGCATTATGGATGAAGAAGATGAAGGAGATGGGTCATGGAATCAGGACCATCCATTGCTACCCAAAAACCCGGCTTGGTTTCAAAAAAAAAAAAAAATATATATATATATATATTTTCTCTCTCGCTCTGGACCAAAATAAATTATTATTCTGATTTACATGTGGTCGTTTTCTTTGGGTTTCCTTCGTATGTATGCTAAAGTACAGATTTTCGTTCAGGACCATACGTTTAATTTCAATATATTGTGAACATACATATATATGTTTCTAGCCGGGATTGTTTCTGGTTTCTTGGGTTTGGTGATCTTCTTCAGATATGTTATCTGGAGAAGAAAAGAATCGGGTCCACATTCAGATTCTACGGGACCCGAAAATCCAGTTTTGATTTGAATATATCTTTTGACCTAATTAAATATTTTTTTTCCTTCTCTGGGCCAAAATAAATCATTATCTTGATTGATAGCAATTTGTGACTATTAAATACCTGACCCAAAGTGTTAAAGATAATTTTTTTTAAGAAAATAATTAAATATGCTATTTTTTTAGGTTTTCTTTAAATGGATATAAATTGGGCTTTAAGACATTGTATGACATAACTTTGTATTAGATAAATATCATATTGATTATTTAAAAATTTTGGTTATTTAAGGTATTTCTATAAACTGTACAAATTTTTAAGGAATGCAATTAGTTGTTATTTTGGGCATTATATTTATCCCCTAATTGGTTTCATTAATTGATATGGATGAAATTACCAAAGTGTCTTGTTCGTATTGATTTTTTAGAATCTTGATACAGGGATGGGATTATCTAATTATTACATACCATAACCTACCCAAAG